TGCTTTTTGCAACTTGCGACGTCCCCCGCTTACGACTTGCTACAATTATTTTATAAAATATGTATTAATGTAATGTAATGAAGCATATAATCAAAGTCATCGAATATTTCGTGTGACTTGTACCTTGCTTTTTGCAACTTGCGACGTCCCCCGCTTACGACTTGCTACAATTATTTTATAAAATATGTATTAATGTAATGTAATGAAGCATATAATCAAAGTCATCGAATATTTCGTGTGACTTGTACCTTTTGTCCTCTTATGGAAGGTTGAATTATTGAGTTGAATTGCTTTTTGCAACTTGCGACGTCCCCCGCTTACGACTTGCTACAATTATTTTATAAAATATGTATTAATGTAATGTAATGAAGCATATAATCAAAGTCATCGAATATTTCGTGTGACTTGTACCTTTTGTCCTCTTATGGAAGGTTGAATTATTGAGTTGAATCTCGATTATTGGTGGATGTGTGTGCTGGTATAGTAATAATAATATGCTCTTGAACATCCATACAAATTATATAATAATATTATAATGTTAATAAATTTAACTGTTGCATATATAATTTGAATATTATTTATATAATTGTTATATATCCTTATAAGTTATTTTGTTAGATCATGCACTGTGATGGCCACTTGTTTGGAGATATGATCTAACTTAGAATTTTTTTTAAATTCGTGCTTAACATATAACTAGTAAATGATAACTTTGTTATAACAGGTTATTATGCATGACACCGATATGTGAGATGTGGTAGTGAGTCTCAACCACCGGGAATGGGGATTCTCTGGGTATATAAGCACACATTGTGATGTATGTAGCACAAGTCCGTATTTGAATTTTCTAGGACGAGTCACCTAAGAGATAGATAATTCAAATTGTTACATGCTCGCTTTGACTTAAAGATATTGTCATTTTCGATTTGATAATTTAGTATGTTTTGATGTGATGATTAAGCTTGTTTAGCAAGCGCTACACAACCTGAAACGTTAGGTTGCAAAATTTCATTTAGGAAAATAATGGATATCTAGATAGGATCCAGTATGCGTATTATGATGAGTTAATTTATTATGCATTCCCATGAAGTTATTAAATTCTTGTCGGCATGTGATTTTGAAATTATTTTTTTAAATTTACTTTCTTATAAGAATAAAATATTTTGATGTTTCAAAATGATTTTTATATATGTTCATGGGAATTACAATTTAGGCATGAGCAAATAGGTGAGTTGTTCTGCTTAAAACAGTTGCCTAAAATAAATGATACTGGAGAGGACTGAATGTAAAATATTATTTATTAATAATTAATCCCATATTACAGAATAACTTTTATGAACAGTTGGTCGGATAAGGATTTGATTGTTAAATTAAAATTATTAATTTGATTAATAATTGGTTCTCGATATGGGACCTAATTAGTCTCACTAATATCATCAAAAGATGTATACATGCAATGTAATTTTTTCTATCCTTAATTGTTATGAATAAAATTTTTGAACAAATCTATTCTATCTTTAATTGTTATGGATAAAGTTTTGAACAATTATGAATTGTTTAAAATTAAAATATCTAAGACTAGTCTAATCCTATATATAGAGTTCATATGTAACCTTATGAAGATACAAGAAAATCTAATGAAGATAATATGAAGAATAGAATAGAAATAGAAATTTAAGAAACTATCTCTCAGTATTACTCCTTTTCAGTGATGGGTGGATTTTAAATTGAGGATTTTTTTTTTGAGAACGCTATTTCAGATTGATCTCAGATTGATCTCGGGACATATTTTTTGTAGAAATTCGGAAAACGTTTTAGGTATTCTTCTAGTTTTAAATTAATTTAGATTAATAGTCATGATATGTTATTTTTGTTGCGTTGTATGTTATGTTTTCAACAGGGGAGGGGACATTCCTACACGTACACTCGGTATACATTATACAAATAAGAGTAAGCCAAGAAGAAGAAAAGGAAAGAAAATAGGAAGGAAAATCTCCCCCATTAGATATCAATAATGTTCTTATACTGCAAAAAGGACCTGGTTGGATCCAACCAGGACTTTATTGAACAAAACCTAGCTTCACAATTTACACAAGTCAGGTGACCAGCAATTAGAATCAATCAGACCCAAAAAGTAAAATGAAAAGAATTACAAATGAAATGAACTGAAAAGTGGCCGAATGTTGTAACCAGATTCTGAACCTAAGCAAACTTCTCAGATCAGAAACAGAGGTACTAAAATTCTGTGAGGTCGTCATCAACTTCATCAATAAACCATATTGGAAACGCACACCATAGCCAGAGCATGTTTCTCCTTGGCATTGTTTAGAAGCGAGACGTAGATACTTCAAGCAAACATGTGGCCATTTTGACACGGTAAAACTCTCGGCTCGGCTCAACTTTACAAAGATAGACGAGATGAAGTTGGTTGTGAATTTCCATCCGCGTGCATATATACTATTGGGCGTAGATGAATTGCGGCATTATCTGAATCATGGTCTCTGCTCTTGTTTAGCATTTCTAGGGGAGAGATTTTTGAATTTGACAGTCTTCTTGAGCAGAAGGATTAGCGTCAAATTCTGGAACTACTGCAGATGAGAGCTCAAGATGTGAAACACGGACAGCACCAATAAGCTGCTCCGGGAGCTCATCAGGTGTGTTTCCCTGCAAACACAGCACCGAAAAGTTTATAGCTAAGCTGCAAAAACAAAATTACGAATTTCTAATTAAAAGGAGATAATATAACCATAAGATAGAACAATACTCGGATGATTACGGAATGGTCGGTTTAACGTTTGTTTGTGTGGGAGTATGTGTGCACGTGTGATGGTTAGTGTTATAGAACGGTCAATGAGGGGCATGTGAGTGTGTATGTGCTGTAGTTTCGTAAATCATGTGTATGGATAGTGCTTTAAGAGCTTGTTTGGATTTGGGGTAATGAGGGGTAGGGGAAGTTACAGGACTCTATAAGAGCCTAAATGCCTAGCCAAATTTTTTTCATAGAATTCAAAATCTCAGTTATGGATCCGAAAATTTTAAAGCTAAACTATTGTTGGAGAATACCTGTACAAGAAAAGCCATGTCAACAACAAGTGTAGTAACCACTCCCAAGACAAGTCCTAGAACTCCATTTGCCACTGTGGAAGAACCGATATCAACATCTATCTGCACAAAGTAACCTCTTTTAGTTTTCTCTGATTTTTTGTTTGTAGCCTGTAACTAAGTCTGGTTTTCCAACGTCAATGAAGATTCACACGTGAGAATACGTTACAGTAATGTCGGAGCTACAATGTTGCTTACTTCCAAATACTTTGGTTCTCGAATGAAGGTGCAGTCAACTGCTTTGGCCAACAGGCATGCACTGCTTCCTACACTTTGGCGAACAATCCAGGAACCCTATACAACGAGGTAAAAAGTCAGGAAAGCTACTCAGTGCAGTAAAAAATAAGCCAACACCCAACCAGTAATCGATAAAACCAGAGGAAGAAGAGGACCTTAGGAACTGCTGGGATGAGCTTGAACCTGCTGTTTCGGAACTCATCATCACCATCAAAGAAGCGTTGTAAAAGCGATCCAGGTACCAACGTTTTTGTTACAAAGTAAAGAACTAAACTGTAATAAGTTGATCCTGGAACCTACAAAAGTAAAGATGTATTGTCCGAGACTGATATACCAAAATAATTATTAAGAATAATACATAATTATAGAATGACTTAGTAAACATGCAAAATAGAGTTGAGAAAGTGTCCACATCAAAAATTTGTGAACAAGATCACAAAAGAAACAATATCGTGCCTCCACATTTAAATCACATGCAGACATGACAAAGGACGTGACGGAAATTAGTAGGCAGCCCCTCAAGCTGCAGGAGGACCACAGATTCAGGTTTTGGAGGAGGCATGCACTTCAGTTACCTTGAACTTCCAGAAGCACTAAAAACGTAATACAATTGCAAAGAATAAGATAAACATGGTTTTAGCATCACTCTAATATGGTTCACCTTGTTGTGCCCACCATAAATGTTTTTTCTTACTTAAGGCTGACAATCTGAAATCACATCATAGCCTAAAGCTCCAATACGGAGGAGAAAAGAATAAATAAATAAAATAAAATAAATAAAGATGGAGCACATATGGTGTTTGGAATACTATGATTAGTAAGACACTTGACAAGGACATACGTGTTGTGCTCTGACATGAACTTGCATATTGTCAAACACGACAATTTCCAAACCACATCACATGACTATATACGTACACTCCAATCTGAATATAAGTTTGTGTTGCTTATATATGCCTCAAAGCATCCATATTTGCAAACTTTCCCCCATATTCCCTCACATTTTCACAAAGCTGCAGGAAATAATTGAATGAAATTGAATTGCAAAATGGAAAGATTTGTACAAGCTGTATGTTCCATCACAACTTCATAGAAAATTGTTACGCACATAAATAGTAGATACTTGTGGCTAGACTGATGAAATAGTCTCTTTAAAAAGTATATGTTGTTTACCAATGCACAAAGAAAATATCATGTCATGAATGAACAAGGAACAGAGGAATTTTCCATATTATACTATTTTATCATTATGGATAAAGAGCAAATGGTAAACTGATTAATTGATGGTTGATTAATGAGGAGAAATAATGTACAAAAATACAAAACATATTTACCTGAAGATTTATAACCAACGAAAATAATCCCTTCTCAGAGGCAACCTGTATGTGATATAAGACTGCATTTGAGCCAAATTTATCTAGACGTATATGTAAAGAGTAGCACAACTTAAAAAGTAAATCTAAAAGGAAATTTGACATGCATTAAGAAATAACCTCTTGGTTATTGATTTAAGGGTTTGACTACCTTCAGAATCAGGAAAATCTCCAAGATATAAGTAGAACACTAATAAGTTTTTTGTTCTTAGTATCAAATTAAATTAATAAATCTATCAAGTGGAAACTGTAATTCTTGCACACATCAAACATAAATATAGTTTAATTCCTGATCCATTGTTCTTTGGATAATGTTCTCCTGTAATGCATCTCGTGTGAAATGTCAGTTCTTATGGTGTACCTCAAAAGAATTTAGAGACAAACACTAAATGTTGCAGATTGAGGATGATCGAGCTTTCATAGTAATTAGTTTATACTTGGAGGAGCTTCATACTTTAGGTTTTACTGTTAAGAATTGCACATTTTCACACTTTCACAGTTATTAGAAATTTTAGTTAATAGTTTTTTACTCAATATTGTGTTTTCAGACAAGTGATACAAAAGAAACGCCTTTCTTTATTCAATATTGTTTATATATATACTAATATACACCTCACAAAAATACCCACACTACGCAGGCGTAGAGATTAATTCCTGTGTCCACTGTCAACAAGTGACAATCACATCCAGCGGTGCCCAAATCATAATTTCTAATTTCAATGAGAATTCAATATGCCCCTTTATTGAGGTAAAAGTTGACATAGAGGTCTTCCCATGTCTGCAAGATAAATGAAACATTGTTCCCAAAGTAATCAAATGTTCCTTTCTTGGTGGTCTCTGCATAGAAATTTTTTTTGGGGTAAAAAATTAAGCTAAAAAGTAAATATAAAGCTGGACATGTAGAATCTATCAGGATAAAGAGCAGAACTTTATCCAATTAGTGACTAAACTATTCAAGAACATAAACTAGAAAGTAAGTTAATATAGCCTGAGTAACTTACAGTGCTTGAGGAAACACAACTTGTACAACTGAAACTTTCTCACATAAAAATTACAAATAAAATAAGCTTATCAAATTAGTGGTATAACTTACTTGAACAGCACAGCCATGCCGTCTGGCAGCATGATCCATTCGTTTCATGTCCTTCAACCAGTCAACTGCCACAAGCTCCATAATAGGCTTCCCGCCAGGAACCTGTAATACAAAATTGGAACCGCAAACATAAAACTGAAACATGTCGAATATACATTTAATGATTTAAAGATCTTGAAAGGATGGGATTCATAAACATAAAACTATTTTATGTGGAACATGCATTCATGAGATTGAAAAGGATAGAAACAGGATTCATCGAAGAAAGCACTACTGACCTTACTTTTGTCAGACGCAAAATTCTTGCTGCGAATTTTAAAGTTGTCTCCATCAGATATTTTCCAACAATTACGACCCTTGTCATCGTCATTCCATCGCAGATTACCGGAAAAACAAGACATGTCAATTTGATCTGATGATTTCTCATCAGAAACTGTAGTGTCAAAGGAATACAACGATAAGAAAATCTTCAATATCGTCAAACATGGTTGAAGAGGAGAATATAAAATCACAAACCGTTCTGTTTAATATCAGCTTCAAGCTTGACCGAGTCTCCCTGTCAATTGACATATTTCAAACCCAGAATAATGTAACCCAAGAATATTTGATAACAGTATCAGTTTATGCACCTCTAATTCATGTGCAGGCATTTGATCTTCATCGTCATCAGTGTCTTCATCCAGCATAACTGAATGTTTGCTACCAGAGTGAATTTGACTCAATGGAGGAGTAGGTTGCACATCCAATTCCTCAGCCACTTGATCTTTCTTGGCAAACACAGAATCTGAGGTCACATTGAACATGATAGGAATTTTCGTACTTGGGTGAGTTTCATCTGTTTGAGAAAACCAGTCACGCAACCCTGTTAAAGGCACAGAACTTCGACGAAGTTAACATACTAAAAAACTAATATGAAAACCAGATAGTTGAAAGGTATTGCTTCTCCATAAAATTTGCCTTATAGGGTAAGAATAAAAATTGAGAATAAGAAAACCAGTCAGATAACCCTGAGTTCTACCATCTATATTCCCACGTTGCCACAATAGCAATGGCATGGGCCAAAAAGGAAAGATAGATAGGGTTTTTCTCTTGATTTTGGCAAAGCACTCCCACTTTGAAGCTTGCACAAGGGGTTATTAGCTCAGTAGTTGAGCACATCCCTGAACCCTGGTAATTGTGCCTGGACTTGAGGTCTCTCAACTACATGAGCAGTTCAATGTGACTAAGACATAAGATCCGATGCTCAAATGTTTAGAGGCAAGTTAACTTCGCACCGATCCACAATCCATTAGAAGAATGCATGAACAAGATTGGATGTCGTATTTATTATATTGTTTGCAATATACAAAGTTATATATAATTTTATGGCTAATCATGCATTTTGGTAACCAGGTGTATATACTAATAGAACAGATCTGCCCACAAATTTCAACACATCCAGTCATGGGTGTATGCAGCAAACCAACAATGGGTGGGTAGGTGGGTGGGGGTGTGGGGGCAGGCTAACTGAGGAATCTTTAGGATGTTAGCAGGCAATAGAAACCAAGCTTTCCACAGAAATTTATATGATTGATACAATTGAGTTGCATTCGCTGGTGAGAAGTCAGCTATTAGATAGTACTAGATAGATCAGTCATTGGTGGGGATATTGTCTGCATTTTCACAAGCATAACACTAGCCTAGTACTGGTATACAAGAGCAATGAGTTATCATATATCATAGCGCGCAATTTAAGCCAATTCAAAACTTTTAAGGTAGGGAGCATTACCAGCAACACTAGTCAACATCTGAATTAAAGAATATTGCTGAAATGATGGGAAATAACCAGCTACCCATCCCTTCATATCAATCTGCATAAGGTGTTGTACTTGAGTTCTAGGTCTCCCATTTCGAGATCTAAGAGGAGATATTTTAAACCCACCACCTAAATGACAAAAATCATTAAATAAACCAAAATGAACTTGAAAGTACTATATGTTTTTTCATTAAATCTGAAGCATATAGATAGATGTACTTTCAATGAGAGCTCTGACAAATCCTGGCTGTGGGCCACAATCTGCATGCTCCCTCGACCGAATTAATACAACTGTAAAATGGAACATATACATGCTCAGATATAATACGGGTTTACATAACTATAGAGGCAATCAATGGAAACTCACCATAGCTCCCATCGTCATTACGCCGCCAGTAACGCACATAACAGAGATCCCGGGGCCACACATATCTGCAACAAGAAAACAAGTCATACAAATCTTGAATGCTTTAAGTTGGAAAAAATACAGGGAACTCTTGGACAGACTTAATTACTTAACACATTGGGAATGTGATACTACAAGAGGTGACCTTTACATGGCCCAGTGTAAGTATCGAGAAGTATCTATGACATGATATATAGCTAGTGTTGTAAATTTATCACACCAAATGAAATATGATCAACTTATAGTGTGAGAATATTTAGAGGTTCAGGACAATAGTGTATCAATTCTTTACGACGTAAGATAAGTATCAACAGTACGAAATAACAAGGAGAAAAGGGAATAACATGTAAAGGAAATGCTGCTAAAGGAATAACATGTGAAATAAAACTAAAGAGATTTTGTTGGAGATTTTTGAGTTCAAGTAATGCTCTGTATGTCAGTCCTGTTTAACTGGAAAAAGGAGTTGGAGGAAAACAAAATTCTCAAAATTTACAGAATGTTGGGAATTATGAGAAATTTTCATCTAAGTCATGTCGCGGAAACACTTCCCCCCCTATGTATATGGTCTGCTTACAAGAAATTACAATGAACGAGTATTATTTGATTTAGGTACAAAAAATGAGATGCTCTAACTTTGTACTAAATCCAGGAAGCATGACCTTTGTAGGAACATGTTCTTAATTCATGAAGATGTTGTATATCAGGCTAAGAACAAGTTAAATGACAGCAATTTCTTCAATGTACTTTCGCTATTTTAACAAGACAGAGAATTACTTTGGCATCCAGTCCAGATGCAATCTATGGTAAAGAATAGCTGTATGTCCATCAACCTCCTCAACTAAGCTACCGTACTCAAAACTGCAGTCCCACCTGCAAAGAAAAGGTTGAAGTAGATATAAGAAATTAGTAAAAAGAAACTGATAAAGAAGAGAAACCTACTCAAGCAAATAAAGAAGAGAAACCTACTCAAAGCGAGTGCTGCAGTCCATGCTTATTATGAGCTCAAATATCGCTTCACAAGTGGCATCCACTACACCGACAGCTTTCATGGCTTTACTGCAGCTATGCGGCTGCACTTAACAGATCATATATAGACCACGCTCGAGTTTCAATCCCGGACTAAAGTGTCAATCGTTCTAATATGTTTATGTAAAATCAACAAAATATCTTACTACATACAAGGTGGTCAACTTCTAGAAGCTCTTCAAAGATTCGTAACCCTGCAAAGCCATTCACATATGGTTAATAGTGTGTTCCAAGATGAAAGAAGAATTAGACGGACTTCGGTTCCCTTGGAGACTACAATATTCTAAAAAGTCAAGAATGACCTTCCATGAAAGAATAACCAAAACTGCAAGAGGTACAAATGAGACACAGAGGATAACTTGCCATTCTGCAATCGGACTAAGCGCCAATGTTTTCCAGAATAAGCTTGGATAGAGTTATCCTGATTTAATAACCCAGATTCAAGCTCCTGTGTCCAATCTGGTATTGAATCAGGAGGTCCTGCAATGAATTTTTTTTTAATTACCAGAAAGTGATGCTTAATGTATATATATCACTAAATAACATAATAAAAATTGAGGCCCTTAAAAGTTCATAAGAATAGCCATTAAGTACCATTTCCTATTGTCTTTCTCCTCTCAAGTAATGCCTGCTGTCCTTCTTCTTCATCTTGACTGAATCTATTTAAGAAATATTCAGATATGAAAGAAGTCAGACACACCAGAATAAAACTCCTACAGACTGCCAGAGACGAAAAAACAAAGGGTATTCCAGAAGGATAGTTTGTATTTACTGAATGCCCGAGCCAATTATTCAGATAAAAGAAAGTGGATGAAAAACAGGAGAAGTCATATAAAGAGAGAGTCTAAAACCAAGAGAAACCAGGCATAATAAAAGCTTCTCGTATCTGTGCACATTTGATTCTTAAAGACACTTCTCAAAGCTTTTTGAACTTTAGGTCTTTAGGTTTCACATTGCTTAGACTATGATGATCAGTGTTGATCATTGTCTCTCACACCATCAGAAGATGAGGATCTGACTGACAAGCATTTTATATTCCTATTCTCTCTATGAATTCATGAATGCACTTATGCACACGCAAAATAGGGGCTCCACCTAACATTTTCTCCTGAAGATCCTGTTCATCCTACGGCTACCTATTACGGCTAACCTTTGGTTTATAGCATTACAATACACGTAGTCATGTGGCAGCAAACTGAATAAATAATGGGCAAGCCAAGAGGAAATCCACACCTTTCCTCATGTAATCATAAAGAATGGAGAAAAGCAAGCATTTTTGAGCCTCCAACTTGGATGTTTTCCAAGACCGGAAAGCTCTCTCATTCATCTTCCTTATTCCTTAGACCATCTTCAGAATAACCTAAGCAATCTACTATAGATAATCATTGGTTATAGCCCATGAAAGTTACGATCTTTGAAAAAATAAAACTTAGTTGCCCTTGGCTCGAAACAAACAAATATTTACCCGAATCTTAGGAATTCACGAATTTTGAATATCATGCGTAAGACGTCCATGAAAATAGCGAATATTAAAGTAAACATAATTAATTGTCACTGGATAGAAGTGAACGAAAATTGATAAAAATCATGGGTTATATAGCCCATGGAGATCAAGAATTTTTACATATGTATAACTACTTGTCATTGGGACAAAACAAATAAAATTTTTCAAAATCGTAGGTTATAACCCATCAAAATTGTAAATTTTGAAGTAGTCGACACTAATTGCTATTGAGTCGAATGAACGACAATGAACAAAAATCATGGTAATTGAGCAATAAAATTGCAAATATTGAACTTTGCACAATTAATTGCTATTGGATCGAAACGAGCAAGAATGGACAAATATCATGGACTATAGGACTCATACTTATTTTCCATTGGATAATAGAGAATAAACGATGATGGAAAAAATAGTGGGTAATAGCCCATGAAAATCATAAATTTTCAAGAACTCATATTTATTTTCCACTGGGTTGAAGAATAAAATTTGATAAATCGTAGGTAACAACCGATAAAAATCACGATTTTTGATGAAAAGAAGTCGAAACTAACAAAAATAAACTAAAATGGTGGGTTATAACCCATAAAAAATAGCAAAGTTTTGGGTATGGATAATTAATTGTCATTATTAAGGTTGTCATGATTCATGAATCAAAATGAGTGATATTAATTTGATGCTATATCTTTTCACTACTAGCTAGAACGATACCATAAGAATAATAAAATAGACTCGATTATCTAAATATTATATTTATTCACGATGAAAAAAAGATAAAATCTTCAAATCTACAAATATTACACTATCTTCGAAAAGAAATACAGTTATTGAATCTTACACAGGCATCCAAGAAAAAAATACTAGTATAAAGATATTGAAAAATAAGTACACGAGTAATCCAAGAGATCAAAAGGTTAGTGAATAGCATGGATTCATGAAAGTGTAAATTCAAAAATGAGAAAGGGTAAAGTGGAAGAAACAAGGAAAAATAAATAAAAGAAAGGCTTCGAGAAAAGAATAATGGGAAATTGTAGAAGGGGGCTGAGCACAACCACCATAATTTTTGATAGTATTCATTGCCCCCCCCCCCAAATTTCAACAGCAACAAGGCGCTCGTTCATCTCCCTCCATACATAATGATGATGGACCAACGGAAAAAATAAGTTGGGTAGATTAATTCTTAGGGGAAAAAACTAGGGCACGTAAACCATAATTTTTGATAGTATTCATTGCCCCCCCCCCCAAATTTCAACAGCAACAAGGCGCTCGTTCATCTCCCTCCATACATAATGATGATGGACCAACGGAAAAAATAAGTTGGGTAGATTAATTCTTAGGGGAAAAAACTAGGGCACGTAATGATGATGGATCAATGTAAAAAATAACTTGGGTGGATCAATGGAAAAAATAACTGGGGTAGATTAATTCTTAGGGGAAAAAATTAGGGCACATAATGATGATGGATCAATGGAAAATAATGATGAGGTGTGTAATACCCCAACCCTTGAGAGGGTGATGTGATTAGTATTGATAGATTTGATTAGAATACTCATACCACCAAGATGCACATTCTTTTCGAGAACCCAACTCTTAGAAACTCCAAAGTTAAGCGTGTTTGGTCTGGAGAAATTCTAGGATAGGTGACCCCCTGGGAAGTTTTTCAGGGAGCGCGTGAGTGAAGACAAAACGTGCTGAAAAGACATGTGATGGTTTGTGAGACCAGTCCATCATATCTAATAGCGTACCAACTCCGGGATTCCGGGACGGGGCGTTACAAATGGTATCAGAGCCAAACCAACCGGAATTGTGAGCTAAGTGCTATACGACGCAAACTGCTACATCGAGAGGGCGTGAGCCACCTCTTGAGGCCGTAGGAGCCACCTCTAGAATCTCACATGGATGGTACGGTCTTGGATGATATGATTTGACGCAACGAGGACGTTACGAGTTTAAGTGAGGGAGTTTGTAATACCCCAACCCTTAAGAGGGTGATGTGATTAGTATTGATAGATTTGATTGGAATACTCATACCACCAAGATGCATCTTCTTTTCGGGAACCCAACTCTTAGAAACTTCAAAGTTAAGCGTGTTTGGCCTGAAAAAATACTAGGATGGGTGACCCCCTGGGAAGTTTTCCAGGAAGCGCGTGAGTGAGGACAAAACGTGCTGAAAAGACATGTGATGGTTTGTGAGGCTAGTCCATCAGATCTAATAGCGTACCGACTCTGAGATTCCGGGACGGGGCATTACAAGGTGCTCTTTTATCAATGGAAATAAATCCTATTAGTCCATGAAATCATGAATTTTGAAATACGCATACCTAATTACCATTGGGAAATGAATGACATAGAAAAACTGTGAGTTATAGCCTTTTAAAATCGCAAATTTTGAAGATAGCATAGTTTAGTTCAATAGGTCAAAATGAACGATAATGGACAAAAAACTTGTTACGCATACAAATGTTGCATTGGGGTGAAATGAATGAAAATTGACAACAATCATCGGCTATTAGCCCATGAAAATAGCAAATTTTGTAGTACGCATAATTAATTGTCATTTTGTTAAAATGAACAACAAAGGAGAAAAGTCATGGTTTATATAGCCCACAAAATTTATGAATACTGAAATAAGCTTATTTATTTTTCATTGGATCAAAACGAACAAAAAATGACAACAATCATGGTTATAAGCCCATGATACTTGCGAATTTTGAAAATCACACAATTAATTGTCCATGTGCCGAATTGAACGAAAATAGACTAAAACCATGGTTATAGTGCATGAAAATCAAATTTTAAATGCACATAATTAGTTGTAATTGGGTCAAAACGAACGAAAATAGACTAAAATTATTAGTTATAGCCTGAGAGAATTGTAGAGCTTTAGGTATGCAAGATTAATTATTATTAGGTCGAAAGAAATGAAAAAGGACAAAAATCATGGGTATTAGCACATAGAAGTCATAAATTTTTAAGTAAGCATAGCAATTGGTTCAAAACTAACGAAAATGAGCAAATATCATATGTTATAGCTCATTAAATTGTGAAGATTGTACGCATGATAATTTGTCATTGGACTGCAGAACGAAAATTGAAAAAAAATCACAGGTTATAACCCATGAAAATTACGAATATTGAAGAGAGAAACTTAAATTTTATTTATTAGGTAGAAATGAATGATGATGGATAAAAATCATGAGTTATAATCCATGAAAATCGCGAATTTTGAAGTACGCATGATTGATTGTCACTGGGTCAAAATGAACTATAATGGACAAAAAGCATGTATATAAGTCATGAAAATGGCAAACTCTAAAGTTTGCACATTTAATTGCCATTGAGTCAAACTGAAACAATGAGTTTCATGTGTTAGAACGTACTTTTTCAATATTATTTTTATATGGACTTGTTTGTTATCTTGACTCGGTCAAATATGACCAAATCAACTTTTCTCAGTAAAGAAAATCATGGAAAATTTGAACGTGGGTTTGTTGAGAGAATATCTCTAAAGGGGCGAATCTGAGGGGGTGGAGATAGTGGGTTTAGCCCCTATAAATGGAGGAGTAATCTCCTTGAGAACAACAACGAAGAAAAGAAAATCAATCTCCTTACCCATTATCGGAGCCCCCTCAAAGATATCTTCTTTCTTCTTCTCTGTGTTCATTCATTGTTCGTATTGTAAGATTCTATTAGCAATATTTGAAGGTTATATTTTTGTCTAATTTTCATAATGAAGGTGAACATTTCGAACATGAACTAACTGCGGTAATCTAATTAGATTAACCAATAGATGAAAAGATTCCGGCTCACAAGCCATAAGGCCATTGTAATGTATTGCATAAAAGTACATGTGTTTTCTTGTGTGGTATAGAAGCATCATCACAATTAAATTGAATAAAATGTGCTCCTTCTACACTGTAAGGAGGCAGGCAGATTTGGTAGCGTTGATAATAATTAGTATTTGGGAGATATCCTGTCATCTTTCAACAAATAAAGATTATCTATTGCTTAAGAAGTAAACAAGATGCGTTTTTGCCAAATTCATCTTCTACCCAGCTTTCCTAATGTTGTGAATCCTGGACAAAAGACTTAAACTTCTAAAAGCAATTTTAGTAAATCATTGGCGAATACGCATTCTTTCTACTTAGACTTATGCACAAATTAAACATATTATAACTTCAATTAAAATGATAACCTACACAATAAATAATGCTGAAAAGGCAGTTTCTTTAAATATTATCACCTTGGGATCTAGGTTCTCCCTAGAACTTGTAAGAGCGTTCAGAAAAGTATTTCATAAATGGTTACTTTAGCATTAACTTTTTTTCCAAAGATCGACAGCTTTCCCTATATCTAAAAAACACGACAAACAAGACAATATAAGACACTTACAGACTTTCATGATCAGAGGAGAAGGAAACATTTCTTTGATGACCCAGTGTAGACTTGTAAGAAACAAAGGGCTTATTTCCATCAGATGTAGTTGAGTCCTGACACTGTAAGAAAGCAAATGATAATTGAACTCCAGATACAAAGCAAGTTCTACAATGAAATAGAAGATGTATGAGGGGTAATGCTCATGAAATCAAAATCGGGAACGACAGTTAATCTTTTCTCACCTCTAATGAGAGCCGGAGAACAAATACATAGGATTTTGTGGTAAAGCCAGCAAAGACATCAAAAGATTTAAGAGAACACAATAAAAAACAATACCACAAATGCATTGCAAAAAGAAAGTTACACTTTTCTCCTTGAGGACGGCTGGAGCAGTACTTGCTCCCATTCCATCCCTCAAAATGCACATGTATTACGATGCAGAAAATTTCACAGACATGAAAAATGAAGGGCAAAACCAACCTCCTGTACTATAAGAACTGATATGGTTGAGAACAATGTGACTGATAATTGAACAAGACCAAATTTAGAGATTGCGCTTAAGTATAAAGAGTTGTGGCTATAATGGGACTTACACTAAATCTTTTGATTAGTACCATGACCCGCGCTAATTTCCTCATAAGGAAAAAAAAAAAGATAAAGTTCACCAAAAAAATGAAAAGAACTAGCCTTGTCGTACCTGATCAATAACAAGTTCAATCTTTTCCTTCCAGATCAGAGCCTCCTGGATGTTGAATGCTGCCATCTAGATGCAAAAGCAAAATAGTGCAAGATTATTTTAGGAAAAGATGGCCAGCACACGAGATGGCATCTGGAGCCAAATATATAAAGCAACCAGGATCCTCCATCCACAAAATGTACAGATAACGCGGTTTAGGGCAAAAATAGAAGTTATAGAAAACTGATAAGAAAATAGGTAGATTATAATACAAAACTAAAACACTGTCTTGCAATAAATATTAACATCAGTAATTTCAGATGATTTAGGTACCCAGAAAGATCCCCGGTAAGAAAATGTATTCAAAGCAAAAGTAAGATGATGAAAAAAGAGAAGGAAAGGTTCACCATGTACCGTAATCCGATTATAGCTGTCTTTCTTGTTGTACACACAGAGCACATAAACCATCTGTCAAGAGAACAAGTGAAACAAGGGAGGTGAACAGAATACTAAGATTATTAACTAGCACAGGTTAAAAAAACAATGGCAGGCACGTATTGCATAAGTAATTGTGACGTTGATAGATGTAATGTCTTAATTGTCATGACCCACGAGTTTACGATGATAAATAAGAATAATGACAAGAAGCTGAATGTTGAAAGTAATGCAATGTGTTGGGCAGTTCTGAATTTGCAATATTTTAACGTTTCTCCCTGACCCAACTTCTACCTCAGGCCCTTTTTCGATAATGGAACACCTTAAACAAAGATTCATGCAATGATTACCGGAGGTTCCACTTTTGGGAGGTCAATGACTCTCTAGCCAGCCATATTTCTCATTTTTTGGAGCAGCGTACACAAAGCAAGCAAAGGCCTGCTCTTGATCGTTAACGTTAATGTTGATAATGGTTCGTCAACTAGATTTTGGTTGAACTATGGGACTGGTCTGGACATAGTTGATTCTCAATACCGACTCTTACTTGCCGCTGCATAAACTCCCAAACCAAGATGATCGATGCATATAGGACTTGGCCCCCGAAACTCCATCATTGGGTCAATCTTCCTCTAAATACGAAACTACGGCATTTATTAGCATTAATCAACCAACATCAGTGGACTGAGCTACTGGATCCATTTGCTGCCAGTAGGCATATTTATCTGATTTTTAGCTTGAAAAATAAAATATAAATATGAGTAAGAAAGCATAACAATAGCAACCGGTGTAAAATAAAGAAATGAATAAACATACATGCCCTTGGTGTGGTTTGAGCCCTCTATCCTCCACCCTGCAACTTCCATCTATATGAAGAGTCTTGAGCGGCACCTTCACATAAAAAAATAAAATAAAACAAACATACTTAAATTAAGGAATTAATCAAATTCGCTTGTTGTTAAAAATAAGACTTGATCCCCCTAACCCCCAAAACGATGGATTATGAACCGCTTAAAACACAGATTTTTCTTACCTATACAGTAATGTACCCTCCAAACCAACCATATTTGCAAATATATCCTCCAAATCTAGATACGTGCTAATTGACCCCCAATTCTACCGCATTGTGTTAACGTAACCCCCGAAATAGCTTGGCCTAGCACCTCTCTTCTGAAGAAAATCTGAGATTTCTTCAAAACCATTTTGAATCCTTTGTAATTCTAAGGTTCGAGGTAGTTTAACTAAGCAAAGCTCAGACCATTATATCACCGATTCTCAGTAGAAGAGCTCAGGAAATAATAACAAATGAGGAATAAAACAACAAATAAAAAAAATTTACCATGTTATCCTTGGGCTTCTTCTTGTAGTAAGCAATGAGCCTCGATTCAAGAACAAAGTATCGCATATGGATGTAGGATTTCCCGATCTTTCTCCTCCCATAACGAACCATCCATCCTTCATAGATCACCTTCGGTGCTTCGATCTTCTTCCTCATCGAGCTGCTCTTCATTCGTACTCGATTCAAAGAGATCCGGACGCATCAATCGAGCTAAATCAAATGATGCCCTAATTCGACCCCAAAATGGGTTTTCTTTTTCTTTTTCTTTTTTGAAAGAAGGGAGAATTTTTGCTGGTGGATCCGAGGAATCGAGGAAACCGCCGATCGAAGAGGAAGAATTTTTATTTTGGTCCTCATTTCTGGAAATTTTTTTAGGAGGACATCCGGCGGGAAAGAGAGAGTTGAGGGCCGAGAGCAGAGGCTGGGATCGTGGAATAAGGAACCTTGTGCTTGTGAAAATATTACGACATTGCCCCTTCACTTCATGGTAAGTATATATAGTAATAATTTGTATTTGAGAAATGAGGGAAATAACAAAACTCATAATTCATAATTAGAGAAAAATTCATAATTCATTATGAATATTTTGTATATATAATTTCTGCAATGTATGTATCGCCTTGTTTTCTTCTTATTATTCTTTTTGGCTGAAAGCGAGGACTTACAGAAGAACCATATTCCTAGCAAAAAAATAAATAAATATTTTTTTTTCTCTCTCTCTCTCCATGTTGCTTCTCTTCCGGCACCTGCGCATCATCACCAAATCCGATTAGATTCAGTTACAAGTAGTAAGCATATCGAAAACCCAGGCATTTGTTCGAATTTTGATTCTGCTTCCACTATTTTATCATGTGCTCTAAAATAGTTCTACGAAGTAAACAAATAATAATAACAATAATAAGGGAAGGAAAACAAAAGCTACAACCTGTACAGCTTTGTAAATCAACAGGGTGGAACTTAGTCGTCCAAATCCATACAGGAGAATTATTCAGCCCTATTAAACACTCGTGAATGCGCGCGCGTGACACGAATTAAAAGTGATTCAAACAGAAAGCATGATTTTGATTCGCGACTGACCGCGTGAACAAATTATTCAGCAAACCAAAACTAATTCCTCATCAAGATCAAAGTTTTGATTTGGATAACCCCAGAATGAACTGTGAAAAATAATTTAGCGGGATCACGAATTCTAGTATAACTTCTCAGCACGCAGGACTAAGGATTGCAGAAGCCGTGTAGAAGCGTTCACGAGATTAGGACATTGGACAGGAAATAGCAACAACACATGAATATTAATGAAAGTTTTCAATACAGTCCTTTAAATAGAATCCGTATACAAGCCAGATTTAACAGCGAACGGAGTCAGTTCAATTTAAGCTACCACGAACTGTAGGATACAGACAACAAGAAATGTTCTGAGGTAAATGTAAATGAGACGAGCAACTTTTCAGTTGACACATTATTACAGTAGAGAGTTCCCAGTTCCCCTAGTAAGGAACGACAATGGATTCTATGAGCTCCTGAAGCGGGGCAAGTTCCTTCTTGTCAATCAAGCCGAATTCCTGCACCAAAACAAACTCCGAATTTAGTATAATTGGACGCGATACTATGCAGACGTAATAAACCACGATTATTATACATATCACGTTTTCACATCCTGATGTGAATGAATTCAAGCCTACACCAGAATGAGATATCATAAACTTCCTAGCTGTGCCTGCGTCTCAGCAGCTGGCCTAAAAGAGCTGCCAATATTCATCAAAACAATATGCACATGCCAGAATTGTGAGAACAGGAGCTTATAGAATGAATCTACCAGATAAAATTGTTATCTCAAGTTAGTAGTTGGATTCACTAGATGAAACAAATCCATATAACTAGTGAAGACCATATTTCAATTTTCAGGCAGACCCCTTGTAATTGATCATTCGATCTTTGGTCAGCTTCTCCTCACATATCCTTTTTTTTTAACTCGAGCGTTTCACATTAACATAAGATAAAAGTTATGAACTAGATTCTCACATCATTATATTGCCCGCTATAAAATGAAAAGATATTCTGGAGGAAAAAGATTGCTATGCTAAGAATGCTTACATATGTAAACAGAATAAAATGCTTGAAGCATGTGTTAAGATGTGCCATGTGTTAAAGATTATGAACCAGATTCTCACATCATTATATTGCCCGCTATAAAATGAAAAGATCTTCGGAAGGAAAAAGTACCCCAAAAATAAAATGCATTGCTATGCTAAGAATGCTTACATATGTAAACAGAATAAAATGCTTGAAGCATGTGTTAAGATGTGCCTCTTCCTTGAGACTCACAATCTTCTGAAAATGTGAGTGGTATATGTGTGCATATACGCGAAACAGCCGTTTGAATATCGTTTTCACGACTTCCTTGAAATTTGGGGGAAATGGGGCTCCTGAAGATGGAGATCATACAAAGTAAACAATGGAATCTTAGAAGTATTAGTATTGTCTGAAAACTAACAGCACTCGGAAGTCGGAAGTACTACCAAGCTTTTGTGGAAAGATGGATTCATCATCAAGTTGAACTTCAATCCAGTCCATCAGATACTCAACATATTTTGGAGCCGAAACTTCTATCGGCTTCTTTATTTGTACACCATCTGCCCACCTGTACTCATACCTGCAAATTTCATTGTTAAGTTATAAACTGAATTTGTTCAGCTAAAAATTTGCAGCAAGAAAGCTAATTATCCTCCAAATATCTGGATGTCAAATGACCAGTTCCGGTCATTAAATATGCACAACAAGATCTAGGACATGGAATAGTGATTTAGCCAGAAAGAAACTTGTCATGATCACCTAGCAATAAATTATATTTCTTTAAAAAAATGCAAAGCTCAGATTTTAACGCTACTGTAATATTCATCAATGTGTCCTCAAAGCTCTCTTCAAAGGGGTGTTAGATCAATTCCAAGACTGTAAAAAGTCTATTTTATCCAGTAGAGGATCATCAACGCTTCCATCTTAAGACATACTATTTGCAGAGCAGGTTATTGGCTTTTCTTCCTTTCGATCGTAGTGGTTAAGCAACTTTCGCTATATTTAGGTATATCTGCAAAATTCCATGGTCTTTATCAGCATTACAATCCCTGGGATTGATGTAATTCATGTTGGAATGAATGCTGATGAGTCTCATGTATTGAAGCAGTGCTCTTATTTCTGAGTTTAATTACCATCCTAACCTTCAGCTTAAACCCATGCCTGCCGCTAACTCAGATTGAACCGTATTGTATGTTGAGTCCCCAAGCTTGATTTTGCTGCTCTTTTATTTCGCTCAATATCATAATCCAAAAAATTTCGTGAAAATGAATGTCTAGTCAAAGTTCTACTGCACAGGATGTGAATAATATTAAATACTATTAACTGCACGCCATTCAAAATATACCATTCATCAGTAAAGGGAACAAGAAAACATCAGAATTCTCTAAGGTGGATGTTGTTTTTACATAAAGAAAGGGATGACCAAGGTTTTATATCGTAAAGTTTGGCCATATATTATCAAATTACTTATCAATCTACTTCACAATGCATGACATGATGCATAGTGATGAAGAAGGTAAATATGTCTTAAATGAGATAATATAGCACCAAAACTTCTAGTGGCATAGACCATAGTAAATTATCAGAGAATAATTTAGAGTATACAATAAAGCATCATTCATCATTAACACCATCCACTTTATATCAGCTTGAGACAGTGTATTAATTAATACAATTAGGCATACTTTGGCCCTGCAGTCATTGTAGGGCAGCTCTCAGGTGTGCAGAATTCAGTGAGTGTCCCATATAGAAGGTTCACCTGATTGAAGAAATCCACAGCTGAAAAAAAAAGTAAAGAATACATATCCATAAGTTCAGCATCAAATTTCTAGAGAGCATTAAAAAATCATATAAATCTCATGAAGATGCGTACATCTATAACCTGACACAAATCAATATACAGATCGAGTGTCAGGCTGTTTCTCATAGTTACATGAAAAAGGAAACATATCAACTGTGTAGTGTGCAGTGATAAAATTTGGGTCAAAAATGTACATGAACATTGATGACAAGAGAAGAACATTACTATTGACAGCGAGCCACTCATTGAAGTCCTCTCCAGGCGGAAGCCTTACTGCTTCCCTCAAGTTGCCACTACCAAGGGTAGCATCAATGTGTTTCCTGAGCTGAGCACCCTGCATGTAACAGTTGAATAAATAATGCAATATCCCGCTAGATCACTAAATATCCATGGTAGTTGAAGCTCAATGATCTTTTTTTATAGTTACTTATTACAGACGTATCAATTCCTTTAATTCAACATTAGATTTATCTATAGATATATTCTGAGCACTATTTATACATTTAGAGTATATCAAAACTCAAGGTCTTGTTATAAAGAAAGCTAATGGAGTGATTCACCTATTTCTCGGCCTTTGTGAGATCTCATACTACCAAAAGGTGGTGGGAAAAAAGTAATAATAACAAATGGATGCACTGCAAAAAGCTGCACTGGTAATTAATAAGAGTACCTACCTTACTACCAGATGGCGCACTCTTCTTAGGGCGAAACGTCCTTTGGTTCCTGGAATGGATCAAGCCAGCATAAGATGATATACATTTAAAGAAAATTTGAGCTTAGGGTTCAATGTTTTAAATATCCAGTCATGTGGTACTGCAATTTCTTTCTTTCTTTTTTCATTTATTGGCCCAAAATTTTCCGTCTTGGTAGACAATATATTTTATTAAACTTTTAAAAAAAGGAATTTTAAGTTGGGGGCACGCAAAACACGAACCTTTATCTTCTCAGAATGTTAAAAGAAACATGATGTGATGGTAAAAATCTATTAAACAGCAACAAAAAAAAATGCAAAGGTTAAGTATCAAAGTAATAACTTCCTAAGCACATAGAGCGATTAAATATTGGAGACAAAAACAAGTGTAAATTCCCCATGAATAAATTTTTCTGCAAGTGAATTTTAAAAATGAAAAGTAAGATAATGTTAGGACTCGTGATTATGAGCCTACACTCTAATCTTGTTTTGATGATGACAAACAAGTCGACTTATAAGTCGACTTACAAGCTGCAGTTTTTGGGTTTTTCTCTTAGATTCGATTTGTTTTGGACCCATTTTGCACCCGCTTCATTACTAAAACTTAGTCTTGGCCGTCGACTTGTCTTGACCAGATCCTACCCATTGATTATGTCCTTAGAAGAGCCCTAGATCCCAAAATTCATTTTTTCCTTTTCTCCCGATCTTCTTCCCTAAGTGAAGCTTCTCGGTCCTCTTCCTGCTAGGTATAATCCCCTCACATCCCTTGCTCCTTTCATTAGAGCTCTCATTTGGGGTTTGTCATTTCTAGAGTAATTTCTAGGGGTTGTATCTATTGTTCCAAATCGGTGCTTAAAATACAAGCAACCATGGGCATACATACTTCTATCCATCTTTATGCTTATGATATTACAGATACTTAAATTGCAAGAAACACCCCTCGATAGATTTTTAAACCCCCTCAAGGAACTACCATGGGAGGCTTATGTTTTCAAGGGACTTGTGTGCCGCGTAAGCCCATTTTCGCAATTTAATAAACTTTTATTTTAAGACCAATTATGTTCATTTATCATTAATCAATCCAATAAAATCCTCAATTAAACAAATCTTCATCATCTCTTCTACCCCTCCACCATAAATCACTACTTCATCCTTTTCCATCAAAAATCACATGCAACTTTACTTCCTCATCCACCTTAAACTCCTCCACTACTATCATCTCCAAAATCTCAACCCCCCCAATATTCCAAATGCTAACTTCAGCATCTCTTTCCTAACATAATAAATCTTAATACTAGCCTTGACAACTTGTCCGATATCACTACGACCAACTTCCCGCGCATCACTACGTTGTCGCCACTGCGTGTTCCGCGTGCACCACTAAATAAACTTTTTTACAGAGAGGCTTCCTTAATAAGTACAATAGCTAAAGAAAATTTGAGGCTAGCTGCATGTTCAATAGAAAAAGAGTAAAGAGTTAATGAGAACCTTGACATCTTATCTTCTATCACTAAACCCTAGCCTAATCATCTGGCCGCGCCCGTGACCTAGCTTTCCCCTTTCTGATAAACTTTAATGCCTACAGATATTTCTAAGGATAGAAAGTGACCTAAATCGAGCTTGTAGCAGATGGGAAAAAAAAAAGTAGCATTCTAAATTTAGAACAGGCTGGATCCGAAGTAGAGTCTCTGATCAATCACTCAATCAAAGATTCTCGTCAACGGATCTCAGATCTCGGTAGAACAAAAAGGACCGGCGGTTGAGGATGGAGATTGGAGATTCGATCGTACCTCCCGAGGCCGAAGAGGCTCATGGCCGATTGCGATCGGATCTGATCGCCGTCGAATCCTCTCCGAGAATTCCTCTCTGAGATTTCTTCGAGACCGAGCTCCGTTTGTTTGTTTGCGGTATTGGAGATCCCACCGTCAGCACGACGCCACGAGAGACGAAACCAGGGGGCGAGCTCTCGTCTCCGCTCTATTTGAGTGCGCTTTTCTTTACTTTGGCAGCATGCGCGTGGGGCCCACGCGCATCTTGACCCGGGCGGAGCCACGAGCGTTTGGGGTGGGCGGTGGGGGGGGGGGGGGGCGGCGGGGGGACTGCCTTATTTTTGGCTAGTAAGTAGCACTTAAATAACTTAAAAACAAATGCACTCACTTAAAAATCATCTGAACATTTCATATGAAGCTCACGTAGGCCGTCATCCGGGCCATCCCGGCCCGTCCTGGCTCGCGAAATCGCCGGCTCGAGCCGGGCAAAACCGAGCCCGACCGCCCGAGTACCCCCGGGCCGGGTCCGGGCCAAGGCCCGACAAGGCCAGCCCGGTTTATTTTTATTTTTTTAAATTTTTTTTTAATTAAATTTTTAAACTTTACTTAAAATTTAAATTTCTAAAAGAAAGACAAAAAAATTAATAATCTATTAATCACTTAAATGCATTAAAATTACAAATAAAAAATTATAAAAATAAATTCTTTATTAATAATTAATAAATTATTTACAAATTATAAGTATAAATTTATTTTGAAATTTATCCCATCACAATAGATAGCACATCACAACTAGGTTTTTTTAAATTTCTTTTCTTTTCTTTTTTTATAAAAAAATGCTAACAAATAGTTTAATATTATTATATTTATATATAATTATGTATTAGTATATACTTACAAATTATTATGTAACTATATATTATATATACATATATTATATGTAAATATATAGGAAGGAAAGGGGTTCCATTAGAGTCTTTATAGTAGTTGCACTCTTAGTAGTTAGCTAGCGCTATTCTATATATTTATAAGTTATAATTTGAGAGAGAGAGAATCGCATAAGTAGCCGTTGCCCGTTGGGCCAATGGGAAAGAAGTAACCGTTGTAATATACTATACTTATATATACTTATACTAAGAGAGAGAGTATACACACACGCACATATTATACATATATAAGAGAGAGTATACTTATATAATAGGGAGTATACATATATAAGAGAGAGTATATTTATATATACATATATACTAAGAGAGAGAGAGAGTATATTAGTATATATATATATACACACATATATTATACATATATAAGAGAGAGCATACTTATATATACATATATACTAAGAGAGAGAGTATATACATACATACATATATACATACATTATACATATATAAGAGAGAGTATTCTTATATATACTTATATAAGAGAAAGTATACTTATATATACTTATACATATATATACTTATATAAGAGAGAGTATACTTATATATACTTATATACTAAGAGAGAGTATATATATACACACATATGACATATTATACATATATAGAAATATATTATATAAGAGAGAGTATACATATATAAGAGAGAGTATACCACGTGCTGATTGATTCAGGGCGTGTTATACAGTGGGATCCGCTCTGGTTACGCTGAGTTGGGGAGGATTCGAACCATGTTTCATGGGAGCAACTCTCTAATAATTGGATCCTCCAGATTAATGTGTGTAAATCAATTCATTTATTTCTAATCTAATAACTAATTTAAACATGTTTTATATATAAAGTTTGGTTACCAAATCTAAACATAAATGAATAATATATTATATATTATTAAAAATAAAGAAAACTATAAATTCAAGGAGCACATCCAATTAGGACCGGATCCAACAGCGAGCCGAACCGGCCTAGCCCGTATTAGGTTAAGAATTGGCTTGGCTTATAGTGGGCTAGGCCCAACCCAGTCCACGCTCGACCCAATCCACGATCGACTTGGCGCGCCTTACGTAATACTTATATTTAGATGTATTTTAGTATCGATTCAATTAAAATTTGCAACATCTAGATGTTTGAGTTATAATTTTAGTAGTAGTAGAGATTTTCTAAGCTCTATTTAGTATTTTGATGAATATTTATAATCATTTTGATTTACTGAAAACATTCAAATTATTGCGAATCTTTTATAATTTAAGATAATTCCATCACCCGTTGTAAATTCATACGATTTATACTTTTCAGAAAGATAAAATATAGGTTTTCCTCTTTAAATTCTAATCTAGCAAAAAAAAAAATTAAAAAAAAAGTTGGGAAAAAATTAACCATAAAAAAAGAATGTGAGCTGACCCGTGATCTAAACCATCGTGGGTCGAGTCGGATCTGGCTGTTGGGTTGGGTCCAGTTCCAAATCCAGGAACGAAGTCCTCGGCCTGGTCCATCAAGATCCTCCGGGGCCCATGTATAAATCGACCCGGACCAAAAACGGACATGCCAGTTCACGGGTCAGGCCCGACTTGGCCCATGCCCACCTCTACCTCCAATATTGGACAATATGAAGCCTTATGACGAATTAAATAATTCACCGTTTGAGTTTCTGTCATGCTGGATTCTTTGTAAGGCTTCTATAATTCTCTTAATTGTTCCAATAAATGTATTAAGAAATTTTGCACTCCATACACTTCCATCTTAAAAGTCCACATATTAGAATAAAGAACTATATATATTGTTTTTATACTAAAATGCAATCACCTATCTGATAAATTGTAATAAGAAACTATATACTCTTTTTTGTTGGCATTTTTTTTGGCAATATAGCAGTTGGTTAACCTTGTAGTTTCACTCATTTTCAACTCATACACACTCACTTGTTTTTGCATATCCTTTGTGTATCCAAAGTTATAAAATTGAAACTTTGCTGCCCTCTATTGTGCAGGTATGGAAAACTTTCATCAGAATGTTTTCACATGACACTTGGAATCATTTTAGCATGCAAGTGTCATATGGGAATATCCATGTGAAAATTTCATATAAGCAAAACCCAGGATAGCAAAATGATAAATTCAAAAAAGTTAGGGTATGTAAAATGAAAAAACTATAAAAGATATTTATTTAAGGCCTAATTTGCAATTAAATGCTCTATAAAGTTTCACCAACCTTTCACTTAAGTAATCTGTATTTTAAAACCGAGCAAATAAATGCCCCAAAGTATTTTAGTATTACAGATCAATGCCCCCAAAGTTTCAAAATATTGCACTGTGGTGTCCTCTTATTTAACCAATATTGCATATAAATGCTCACAATTTGTAGATGGCCTCAATTAAATACCCTAAAATTTCTACAAGTTATATTTTGGTACCCTCTGTTATGTTATGTGGTGTTCCTATATATGTAGAGAAATTGGGTTCTTTTTAGCTTTTAGAGAAAAACACGGACCAAATAACACTTAAATGAGCATAAATTGCAGTTAAATGTCCCATACTTTCACCAACCTTGCACTTAAAAGTGACATCTATTTTAAAACCGAGCTAATAAATGCGCCAATGTATTTAGAAATTGGAGATAAATACCCCAAAAATGTATTATTTCACAAGCAAAAGAATTCAAACAGAGAGAAACATGAGCTTTGATTGCATTGCATCTTATTCTGGTGGAAACTGAACAGGAACTGAAAGCTTCTGCCCAAGCCTGCAGTAATTCCCAAAGCTACAGATAAAATAGTACACCCCTTGCTCAATTAGAGAAACTTCAGCTGGCCCTATCAATATCCTCCTGAAAACATTCTCAGCAGTGCAGTTCTCAAACTCTGTCCTTGAAACCTGAGTCACATCCGATAGCCCTGTATCGAACCTGAACACTAGGGAAATTAACCGATATCAACAAACACGAAAGAAATTGTTTTGGATGAGGAACTTAAAGAAGTTAGTCACCTAAGGTGTCGCCGACATAAAAGGTTTTATTGTCAGACCAGTTGCTGTAGAAATCATTGCTCGGAGGAATTGACCATACTGAGTTCCCTACTATGTGGTCGATAGCGTTGCATGTGGCGATGATGATGGTTGCGATGGCGATTTGGAGCAAGAATCTTGTGCTAGAACACATTGCTCTAAAAATTACTAACCCATCAATTGCATGAGAATTGAGAGAGAAATTACCTTTGCCAGAGAAACTGATAAGAGAGGAGAAAAAGGGTGTTGATAGATTTTAACTGCCTTGTTTTATTAACCCAACCCATGAAATCACACGTACTGAAGTCTTTCTGAATTCTCTCCCACTTCCCGTAACTGCTTTCCACACGCACGTTCTCCACTTCCATCTTTGATAAACTCAAACGACCCACAAAGTGATTTTATTTTGAAAAGAAACTAACAACTGTCAATTTTAATATCTCAACTATGTTCTAATTAAGCAGAGAAGACATGTCAAAAGAAAGAAAAAGAAATAAATATCGCACATAATTAAATAAATATATAGAACAAATGAAAAAATCTCAATGTATCAAACTACCAAGGATCGATGTGACCAATATTTTCATTGATTGCTGCTTCCAAACGAATGAACAAACAAACAAATCCTGTTTTCATAAACATTATAGTGACACAGAAAGCATAACATTTAAACCTTACTTGCTTTGTTCTATATATTTGAAACAACTTACGCAAAATGTGAGATTCTTGTTTATTTCGAAGGAAGAATATCAAGTGCAACTTCCTTGAGAGACGGCATCTCTTCTTGCTGGTGCAAACAAATGTATTCATCTCTATCTTTCCTCAGTACCTTCCATGGCCCTGGATATGACCTGCAAGCCATTTGGAGCATATCATAATTGGTTTGACACTTAAACTCCGAAGATACGAAGAACATTTTTTAAGATGCTATTGAAAATATTCGACATTTTTTGTTAGCATAATAAATGAATGTGTGGGGTTAAACCTGAACAATGTTCCTCCTCTTTGGCCTTTGAAATTGTGAATGTAATATATGGTTTCTAGCTTGGGAAGAAAGGTCTTTGTTAGCGCTGCAAGCTTCGGGTAGAAGAATGGTGGATAATCTCTAGATCGTTAAGGTACAAAAGAAGTATTTATTTTCAGGAATTTTTTCATGAGCAAAACTTAAAAAGAAATGTAATTTTGTGAAGAAGAATTCAACAAGCAAACCTCCGCGGGGATTTCTGTTTTACTGAGTTTCAACAAGAAAATAGTGGCAGTTTTGCAGTTCACCACCGCCTTGAAGCTTTGGTCAAAGTTGCCATAAAATTCAGGACTGAAAAATTTCTCAAGAACCCAAAATATGGGACCAATAGAGGGGACAAGTGAGGTGTCCCCCTCCTATTGGATAATGAGTTGGCTATCATTAATGATGACCAACTCATTATCTAATAGGAGGGGGACACCTCACTTGTTCCCTCCTATTGGTCCCATATTTTGGGTCCCCGTAGCAAAACCTTCAGGACTAGATGTTAGAACACTTTCAATTTGATTAAACTTCGAGCAAACATTGACATCTATTCAATCTAAAAAGCTTTTAAAGTATCTGGGCATGCAAATACTATGATGGTCTTTTTTCTCAATAAAATAGGGGATAGTTTCAAGTTTAAAGATACCACAGTAGAAAATAATATGGATCAAAGGATACATCCACTTCGTATTCTGTCCAACTCTCCATTGAATATGATGAGTTTCCTAGAAGTATTCTCTACTGCTTCCTGATAAAGCTCTTCAACCACAAGCATTTCTGGAGGGGGGAAAAATCAACCATAACCAATCTAAGCAAGGCAAAGCTAGAAAGTGAAGAGGTAATTAATATCGATTTATATGGTCACCGTTAACATTGAAATATGGGTACGCAACCAAGAAAATTTCGTCCTCGGGCTTCACTCTATCTGCCATTTTGATCTTCGTCACAAACCCAAAATCTTCAAATAATGATGGCTTTGTTAGATAATCGAGCTTAAGTGAAGATCCTTCAAAAGCTGACTTTCTTGCAAAATCAACTTCATTTGCTTCCGGAAAAAACTGCCGAATCATATTAAGGTTGTAGATTAAATATTGTTACTGAGAAAGCCTGTCTGAACTTTACCCTTTCAGGTTGTCTCAGTTAGCATACTACATTTACTCAATGGTTATCATGAACAGAAGTAGCAAAATTAGAACATGATGCAAAAGCTTACAATTCTTGTTCTGGCAACTTTCTCTGAAATTATGAAGAGATCACAGAATTCTCGAATGAGCTGCATGCTTCCGGTCATTTCTATTCCTCCTTCACCATCACCTTTTTTTCCCCAAAAAAAAAATTCAATTTTATATCACAATATGAGAGTTCTGAAAAAAGTAATCTGGAAAATATAAGAATTAGTGAACCTGGTACAGACTCCAAGCCTGCAGTTGGAAATTCAATCTCCTGCATATTCATGCTTTGTGTTATATAGGTTGTTATCTAGTTAGAGGATTATTGTTTATGTGACTTACCATCAGTTGTTTGTTGTCCTTGAAAGCCAATTCAGTCGCAGCTTTCGCCTGTGATCACTACAATCACACCAAATTAGCTCAACATTTTGAGAGAGAAAAAATTGATCTAAAGGAATTAACAGCATTTATATTTTTATGAAAGTTATTTTCATAGTTTTAAATTACTTCAAACTTGTATTGTTTATCATGTTTTCGCGCGTGCTGTCTACTAATCGCGCGAAAGTTTTACCCTCCAAAACTTCTAATATTCTCTCCGATTTCGTTAGGTGTTCTCCGATTACATCATAATATTTTGTTACTCCTCCACCTGCAGTTTGATTAATAATTCTACTCTGATTAAACCAACAACAACCTCCTAAGTCCCACCACCATGATCAACAACCAACTACGGTTTACAATAAAATTATCAGGGTTCACTTCTGAAGTTTAACTAAAATCAACAGTGTATCGAACAAACCAAGAACACATCATCAAGATTACCTGTTGAAGAAGCTCAGAGTAATCTCTTGGAAACCTGACGTCAACCTCCACTGAAGGGTTGCTGCCTTCGCTTGAAACAGAGCGTGCTAAACAATCCTTTCTCCTTGCAGTCGCTCTTAATAAGTGGTTACCACCGTATACTCTACAAATCCTCTGGTTGCAAATAAAAAAAAAAGGAAACAGAATTAGAAAAAGAGAAGGTCAAGAGAGGTTGAAGCTTCAAGAGTCAAGTAACAACAACGCGGTTGATTTATAATGTGATCACCTTGGTGAAGCTTAATTGAGCTGCAGAGAGAGAAGATGGGTCAGAAATTGCCATTGACATCTTTAGAGAGAGAGAGAGAGAGAGAGGACCAGCTCTTTTTTTTTTTTTTTGAAGGAAAGAGAATCAGCTCTGTGGTCTTCGAAGGGATAGCTCACGAGTAGATGGGACAGCCTTATCTGACATCAATCATATGGAAAAAGAGGAAATTTTCAAAACATACTCAGCATAAGTTTTAATTTTTAAAATCGACTCATTTTTTTATTATAAAAATCAATTTATTTTTTGACACATCAGCTTAATCTTATTTCTAAACAGTCAGGGTTGGCAACTCCGACTGTTTAGGAGGTTATTAAACCCCAATTAGAAATCTTAAGCCCGATTTTTTGTGCCCTAAATAGTCAGGATTGGCAACCCCGACTAATTAGGAAATGAGATTAAGCTGACGTGGCAAAAAGTGGGTCGATTTTTGTAAAAAAAAAGTGAGTCGATTTTAAAAATTAAAACTTGGTTTGAGTCTGTTTTGAAAATTTCTTCTATGGAAAAATATGTTAAAATTTTGTATATTGATTAATGGGTTTTTAGTTAATAGTTCTGATAAAAATCATATGAAACTAGTAGAAAATTTACCAATTATGGCCTCGCATAAAGAGAGGAGCATTTCTAATTATTCCAAGTTTAACGATTAATGTTATTAACCTTAGGAAATTTAGCAAATCAGGAAATAGAAATGCATTTTTTTAGTTAAAAAAGACCAATGAAAACCTATAAATACACTTATTATTTGAAATTTGCCAAAAAGAATTGGAAGCAGCGTGCTTGTTAAGGAAACAAAGGGCGGATTCCAATGCCGAATCCGACCCTTTGTTCCTTTATCTTCTTCATCTTCTTCTTCATCAATTTCTCCTTTGTCCAAGCTTTTCTAAAACTATTCGCTGTAAATTTTCTTACTTTGTTTTTTATTTAGTTCAGTTTTGCAACTTTTTTATTTAATTCAGTTTCGTTAATTTTTTAATATTTAATCCAGTTTTGTAATTTTTATTTATTTATTTCAGTTTTGCAATTTTTCTTTGTTAATTAATTTTTTTTTGTTCTTTGTTTTGTTTATGATTCAGTATTCTACGGACTCTCCTGAAAAAAGCAAGTGCTATAACGACATAGACAGGTACATAATGGAAATACTTAATGTAGGTTATTTGTACAAATTTCGAAAAAGATTTTCTCCATTTAATTTTTATTTTTTGCACCATTTTTTCTTGCAGTGGATTGTGGGGAGAGAAATGCATGGCTTCAATGATGGAAAGGGAGAATTGTTCCTTGAGATGCCTTTCACGTTCTTGCTATGATCTTATTTACAAAAATGATCCGGTAACGAAAGCATGCGCAATATTTTAATTCATTGGGGAGTTCTATGACTTTTTTATTGGTCTATAATTTTATTATATATATTTTTTCTTCCTAAATTCAGCTGGAAGAAGGAGAGAGGGATCAAGTTAGGAGGCAGGAATATAGTTACTGCATGCGAAGGTAAGATTCATTTATTATTTCTCTATACCCATGTAATTATTTACAAGCGTGACTTTATCTACACTCAATTTTGCTCTTTACTGATCAAAATTGCACTGAACTTTAGAGTGCAAGGATATGGTAATCAACTCATTGTTACCAACACGGGAGGCTACTTTACAATATCTCAGGGTATATACACTATTTTTAATATTAATAGGCTTAGAAATTTTTTGATGATGTCTTCAAATTGCTCTTATTTATCTTTACTCACTGCAGATCATCAGTCTGGTTAAATAGAGATTTTCAGAGATACAAGGATCAGCTAGAATATTGAGTAAATAGGGCTTGGAGGAGATGATGCAATTTATGAAGGGGGGAAAATGCAAAAATTTTGTGTACCAAGGGCTTTAGACAGCATTGCTTCCAAGAGAGGGTGCTTTTGACGCAAAATTTTCATGTGCGTATTGGAAGTTTCAAAACTTATTTTCCTGCATATTCTCACGCTTAGCACAGACGAAAAACGTGCGTGTCATATGTGTAAATTTTAATACTACAGATATTGTTTTCCTATAGAGCTTCAAAAAAAGAAGGGGAGTAAAAGAAAAAGAAAAGAAAAATATGACTTCCTAGCTTCAAGGGACGAAAAATCATTAAATTCTCCAAATGCCTGGTGCTTGTGAGCTGAAAATACATGTGATTAAATACATTAGCTTGTAATGTTCAAGACCTTAAGAAAATAATTCAGATTTATGACACATGTAAATTACAATATTTGAATTTGAACAGAACATTAATACCAAGCTCATACAAGAGCTCGGCATTAGGATGGTGGCTCTCCCATTATTATGAGCATATATACAAATGGATTTCTAACGTATTATTACTCTTATGTGTGTAATTATCTATCCTGAAGCTCCTGCTGCTTTCGAACCCTTATCATAATCCCCCTGCTCCTCTTTTGCAAACTCTTCAATCAGCATACGCTGCCGCTGGGTCAAATTACTGCACAAATATCACATTTCAAGAACCAATTCTCTAAATCTTTGCTTACGTATGGCTCTCATTATATAGCCTAGGAGAGCGTTCAGGATTGAAAAAACTTACACGGGAATGGAGACGTTAAAATGAACATATTGGTCACCATGTACGCTGGAATTCTTCAACCTTATTCCTGCAGGTTAGCAATTACATTTGTTTAGAAACTACATATGTAGAACGTTTCAAATGCTTTAGCGCGATAAAATAACCATTATATGGCTGTTCTTTATAGACGAAGTATCCAGATACTTCTCAAAGTATTACTCGTGGAGAACAATTCCTATAGAGTGGTCAGATAAATCATAACTGCGGTTATTGCATTTAAGGGTACATGATTCTGAGAAAAGGTCAATGCATTGCTTCATGGTGATAAACAAGTTACTCCCCAAAGGGATATGTGACTGATTCAAAATGAGGAAATTGATCAAAATTTTCAACATCTTACCTTTCCCCTTTAGGACAACTTTCTGACCTGGTTGAGTACCTGGCCTAACCTGTGAACATGTAAAATCATTTGTCAGGAACAGGAATTAATTGAAAGATATATGTTTTTGCACCTAATCATAACTAGGGAGGCAGTCGAAGCATTATTCTATTAAAAAACATAAATCACGAATAGGCAGGCATTCGAAAGAGATGGAGAATCGAGATGGACCTTAAGAACTACATCTCCTGTAAGAGTTGGCACGTGTATGCTTCCTCCCAAGATTGCCTACACACAGAAAAAATTAATGCTCTTATTAGTTAAGTTTGATACATTCGCTTCGAGATGTAAATAATTTCACCTAAAATTTCAGCTGATCTTTGCAGCTAGCTTATAATTTTACCTGAGTCACATTTAAGACAGCATCGACATGTATGTCGGCATTTTCTCTCCTGAAAACAGGATCTTCTCGAACCTGGAAAAAAAAGAGGAAAAATAGAGTTTAATACCTTCATTTCCAAATGATTATGTGTTTGCAGTGATTAAATAAAGAATACATAACCTTTATTGTAACGTAAAGATCGCCAGGTTGACCTCCTTCAGGATCTGCTCCCCCACTCCTATGAATTTTGATAGTGTCATTATCATCAATTCCTGCATATTGGACACTTGCATAATCAGCAGAACCTTACAGGCTGAAGTCAAGAACAAAAACATACTATAATACATTGAAACTCTTCTGTATTACAAAAAATGGTATATCTGGTATTCTTGATAAATAATAAACGAAAATGTGATAAGCACTGGAGAAAGGTCTGGAAATAATGATGCTCAAAGCATAAGAAATAAGAAACTGATATTTATATCAAGCTGTGAAAGAAGTCACGATGCAACTTCACATTGGTGAAAACTATATCTTCTCGCTGCATCCTGATAATTTCCACAGTACAAAATTAAATTTTCACCAACTAGAATTCCTCATAACTCATGGACTTTAACAAACTTATTCCCCTGAGAAAGTACATTTGCTACTTGATTGGTGTCAATGGCATGCCAAGTACATATAGGGGGTGTTTGTTTCACCAAATATTTTGGCAGTTGGCATGGATTACAAGTTTTGGGATCAAAAAGTGAGTTTTTTTTGTATTTTGGGATTCCATATATGGTGTTTGTTTTAAGAAAACTTTTAGAATATTGAATCCCAAAAGTACAAAAAGTGCTCAATTTTTAGAATTTGCCAAATCCTCTCAATTGGAGAGGATTTTGACAAATCTCATAAATGGGTGTGCTTACCTCTCAATTGGAGAGGATTTGACAAATCCCAATTTTATCTTTTTGTGGGAGGTAACCTCACCAAGATAGCATATTCACATATTACAAAATTTTGGCATTTGGTAATGCTACAATTTGAGCTTGAAACAAACAAAATATTACAAATTGAAGTATTCCAAATCCCAAAATATTAATGAAACAAACAACATTTTAGAAATCCCAACCCATAACAAAACACCTATGGATTTCAAATCCCATGGTGAAATTCATATCCTAAAATTATAGGATTTAAAACAAACACCCCATACTTGATTTAGATATGTCTGAAACAAATAACAGACTTCTCCATGAAGTGTTAGCAGAAATATGTGTAAAAGTCCATTAAAAGGAATATCACAGAAAATGGATCACAGTATACAACGAAATATACAATGGAACACAATGACATGGCATATCACAGCAATACTATGATTCAATTACGTTATGGTACAACAATTTTAGCATGATACAAACATACCAGGCATCACATCCAGCCTTACTGTTCTTGTGCTTTTCACGACTTTCTGTCCACCACATGACCTGCAGTGATTCTGCAACAAATTATACAATATGAGAATACTAACACACCAACAAAACATATACAAATGTAGCAAGAAAATCAAGGATGCAAATGGAGAAATAACTAAGGGTATATGCCAATGAGCTATTAATTAAGCAATGCTCAAATGAAATGTCGTGGCTGAGAGAGTAATTGCATCTCTGCGTTTAAAAGATATATAGTTCCTGCAGGAATATATGTTTAAACATTCAGAACTTATACAAGTAAGCAAAATATAATTGATTCTTGATTGATCTAGATGCTTCAAAAGTTCAGATTAGTAAGTTTGTATCCTGCTGAAACACTGTAAAATCCCATATTTTTATAAGTTCTGCAGCATCAAATATTCAATTACAAATTACCTTGTACTTCAGACCAAGTACACGCCCAAGTCTTATATATTAGGAATTTTATATTTGGTCCTCTTGCAGACGATAAAGTACAACGAAACACGTAGTGTAAAAAAAGGAATGCTTTGTGAGCGAAAAAGAAAATATATTCTCGGGATTAAGTTTAGGGGCAAATTTTGCACGGTCTGAAACTGACCTTGGTCTGAAACTGACCTTGGCCAATTAAGATCAATGGTGACTTCTCAAGTAATATTTAGCAGAAAAAGTATCCGGAATATCACAAATTACATGTAAGAAACCTTACTAGGATAACTTTCCCACTGCCACCACAAACCGAACAGGTCTGTTGCAATGTAAATGGTCCTCGTTGCAAGTAAGTCTGTGCATGCATATAGCAACCATGCATGAATTGCCACCGTGTTCAATACATCTAACCATTAGAGAACAGAAAATGCCTCACCATTCCTGCACCTCTACAATTTCTACATGTTTCAGGTCTAGTTCCAGGAGGCACTCCGCTCCCACCTGCAAAAGAAAAAACAATATGGACTCGTATAAACAAAATCCCAGAAAACTTTAATGAAAATAATGACTTGAGGCTT